TGAAGCAGCAAGCATGTTGCTCTTGTGAAATTTTCAGTTCTATGTTACATAAGCTTGTAACAAGACTGAATTTCCAGATACACGACCCAATACTAAGGGAGAAACTCTTTGATATCTTTGTGGCTATCAGAGTATCTAGCATTTCATACCTATGGGGGTATATTTGATCTCTGTCCATTCACAAAATGATAAGGTAAATTTAAAGGACTCCATGTAGAAAAAGGATATTCAGTCTCTGATTTCTTTGGGCCTTGATAGTTTATAGATAGGACATAAATCTAGTCTTAGAAGAAGAAAAATAAATCATCACTCTTTTGCAGTTTTCAATATCAATTAATGCTACATGGTTTCTTTTTTAGATTGCTAAATTTTATACTTGCCTGTTCATTCACAGGAAATGTTAGCATACTTAAATGTTTTATACATACTAATATAATCATAATGTATGTACATACATCCCCTATGTAGACTATATTTGCATATACACATATTCATTATTTTATCCATTCTTATGTGCATATATTCTAGACTGAATTCTTGGGATTTGTGCTTACATTCCCAGAGCAAACTAATTTTTAAAACTATTTATTTTTGTTGTTATTTTACTTTATGTGTCTGTGTGTGGACATGTGAGCAGCATGCCTGTGGAGGCCAGAAGACAGCAACACAGCCTTGGAAGCTGGAGTTGCGAGCCACTCATGACAGCTGGCAAGCAAACTTGGGTCCTCAGGAAAAGCAAGCAAACACTTTTAACCACTGAACCACCTCTCCAGCCTCTTCACCACATTTTTTGTTTGTTCTTTTGAGTCAGGGTCTCTCACTGATCTAGCAGTTCGCCTATTTGAATAGACCAGGTGCCCAGCATGTCCCAGGGATCCTCCTGATTCTATGCACTCCTCACAATGCTTGGGTTACTGTGTATATTATGTGTGGATGATGAACTGAGAGGGTCTCATGTTTGTGAAGCGAGCACTTAGTCAACTGAGTTGTCTCCTCAAACTGTGACCTCTTTGTAAATAGTATTCCTACATGTTTTGGTCAATCATGGGTGAAGCTTCTAGCACACATAAGAAATACACATGAATAGTTACAGAAGAATTGCCTCCAATTCCTTAGCTTGTAACTCTGCTTGCATTTTAAAACCTCCTAGAAACCTTCCATGCTTTCACTTAATCAATCTCCATACAAAACATCTGGGCTATGGGTTGGTCAATGTCACTGTTGAAGGTGCCCAGGTGATTCAGACAGAGAGTGAGAGCAAGGGTTCCAGTTTCCCTTGAGCCTGGGGGGGGGGTTGTGAATCCCTAAGGGAAGACGAGGCCCTGTGAATGGAGAGTCCTGCCAGTACATTGCGCACTGGGATAGAGCAGGGAGTTCTATTCTTTGCATTCCAAATTTAAGATTATTGCTTCTGCTTAGCCTTCTCAGTTTAGACTCCAACGAAGAGAGGCATGACTTCAGTCTCGTTTCTCACACACTGGTCTGAGGTGGAAGTTACCAGGATTGCACCAAGCCAGAAATGGACAGGTATAATTAGCCATTACAGAGACATGGTCTCCAGTCAGTATCTGTTTCTTAGAGAGGTTAAGTGACCTACAATTAGACCTGCAGCTTCCCCAGAAGTGGATAAGGACTTCTTCGGTAGTGTGGGCCTGGTACCACACAATTTTAGTGGAGATGAGATTAGTTGTCTTGGAAGCACTTACAGACTCTATATTAAAGTGTTTCATCCTGAGTTTCTTCCTGAAATAAAAATGGGGTCTCCTTGTTTGACTCCCAGCTTTCTGTTCTGCAGCGGCAAAGTTCTTCTCAACATGGCCTCTAGCCTGGTTCTCCAGGTAATATTGCAAGATGCGCATCATCCACAGATGCCAAGGACATAAATGAAAGCATACCGAGAGGCTTGCTGATGCCCATGGGACACCACAGTGTCACAGCTGCCACATGAGCTCTGGCTGGTCAGTTCCCAAGCCATTCTTCTTTCTGGCCTATCCTTTCCCACTTCTGTTTAAAAAAAAAAAATCAAGCTGCTATCATAGCTCATCATGAATCCTGAATTCAGTTGAGTTCAGTTTGAAATCAAGTGTTTCCCTTTCCTTGCTATGAGATGTTTGGCAAACCATGCCATTTCCCTGAAGTTCAGAAACGATATTTGGTTGGAAAAGGTTATAATTAATACCACATAATAGTTTTGCTATGGGTTAATATGATAATATAAGAAAACAATTAATAAGACTTACTGTTTATAAGATTAGTCAAGTGTTAAAGCAAACAATGAATAGTTTCCTCACTGTTCTATGTTGGAATGTTTTGGATTTTTTTTTTCCATTTAGAATAGTACAGCCCTTTGGCATCCTCAAAGACGCAGTTTCAGAATCTTCTGTATAACCTACACAGTTTTTGGTATAAAATAATAGAATAGTGATTCTCTTCAGTGTCCAATGTGTTGTAAATGCTAAAAAAATAACTGCTGTACAGTGTTGTTTAGGGAGCAATGTCAGAAAAAACATTCATGTTCAGTATAAAGGGAATTTTCCTATTGTTTCCACCCAATGAATAGGGAGATTCATCTGTATTCTTAAATGGCTTTCTCAAGTAAATTATGACTGACTTTTTGGCTGCTGATAACCATTATAACTGTGAGCTTGAAACACACGGTGTGAAATACACTGCGAGAGTATAAACAGACTTATGAATCAGAACTGATAGAGATTCAAAATCATAAAGTGTTAACAAATTAAATAAATCCATTGAGGGTTAAAATATCAATAATTCCATAACCAACTAAAATTTATTCCAGAATGCAAAGGTAAATCACAATGGAAAAATATAAGCTAGTCTGCCTAATACACAGTTAAGAGGAATTGGCATGAATAAGAAAAGGTCAATGGATATGCTGCACTTGAACACAAAATTATATATATACATATGTGTGTGTGTGTTTGTGTGTGTGTGTGTGTGTGTGCACACGCGCGCTAATGTGTGCTTGGGTGTATGTGGATGTACATGCACTTGTTTATGTGTAAAGATGCCCAAAGTTGACATCAGTGTTCCCCTAAATAGCTTTAACTATCAACTTGCCATAGCCTAGAGACACCTAGGAAAAGATTCTTGAGTGATTGACCAGATTGTGCCTGAGAATATGAGGGAGCGAAGGACTACTACATAGGGGAAAAGATCACACTGGCTCTGGAACCCCCACACTAGTATGCTTTCCCCCTGCCCCAGCATGTTTAAGGAGACTCTCTTGATTGTTAGTAGATGTGCATTGTGGACAACATCATCTACTACTGGACCTGCTGTCCCAGACTGTATCAAAAGCTTTCTAGGCATGAACCTATGAGAAAATCATCAAGCAGAATTCTGTTCCTCCAAGGTTTACACCACACTTCCTTCATGGTGAGTGAGATCTTTGGTCAGATGTAATGTAACAGCAAGCAGGCCTGCTTTCAGATTCCTGTTTCGATGCCTGCCAAGGCTTCCTTCACTGATGAACTATAATCCAGAAGCTTGAATAAGCTCTTGTTTTCTAAGCTGCTTTTTGTCTGAGTGTTTTATCACAGAAATAGAAAGGAAACTGTAGTAGGTCTTCCTCAATTGCTCTCCACATTACATGTTGGAGTAAACTCTTTTGCCAACAAGAAACTCACTAGTCTCGCTAGCCAGGTTTGCTCTAGGCATGGCCTGCCTCTGTCTCATGAATGGTAGGACTGCAGGCAGCTGCTGCACCCTCTGGCATTTACATGGCTTCTGGGGATCTGAACTCCTGCCTTTATGCTTGTGAGGTAAGTGGTTTATGCACTGTGCCATCTTCCATCAAACATCAGCCCTGGCACTCAACTATTTTTGAACCAAGAACAAATTTATAATGCTAATCAGATTTTAGAATTTTATATGTTAAGATATATAAAAAAGAAATCATTTAGTTCTCTATATCCATGTCTATATATCACAATACCAATATCAAAATATGATTAAAACATAGCTAACTATTCACCCTCTTGTTGGTTAATGCATTAAACATTAGTCAAATGTAACTACTCTAGTTTTACCAGACCAAGTAATAACCCACAGCACCCTCTATCTGGTATTTGTGTTTCAACCTTTAATTAAGTACATTTAATATATGCTCTAAAATGGTAATATTATTCTCACAATAGACCTGTTGTATTGAAATATTTTAATAAACATTCCATTAACTTATCATGAAGCATTCTTTGGTGAGTATTTATGCTGACATGAAATGTACATAATAAAGCAACTATTTAAAAAAATAATCTTCCCCAATACTTCTTATGATGGCCCCAAGAGGAATACACAACTTTTGGGGATGGCTAAGTGGATGAAGTGCTTACATACAAGCATGAAGATCTGATTTTGATCCTACAGGACCCATGTTAAAAAAAAAAAAGAAAAGAAAAGAAAAGAAAAGAAATAGGCATGGTGGTGCATGTTTGTAATCAGGCAGAGACAGAAGGCCAGACAAGTTAACCTTCAAGCTTCAGGCCAACGAGACACCCTTCCTCATAAAAGAGCAGATAGCATGTAAGAAACATCACTCATAGTTGGCCTCTGTCTCTTCTCCAGCACACTGCATTCTTGTGTGCCTGCATATATACTCATATGATATTTTTCTGTACTCAAAGAAGTAATTCATATATACAAATATATAGAAAGAATTTCACAATGTGGCCACGTGTTTCTATGAGAGAGTACTTCCCTAAAATGCCTGGGGCCATGGTTTCCAGGGGTAGTACCTCAAGAAAAACAAAACCCAAAGAGCTTCCTGGTGGGTCTTTGGACTGGAGGAATATGATTCAGTGTGTGTTGACTATCTATTACATGATGGGAAAATTTTTTGTTATGGACTTAACCTCCAGATTTTCATCACGAGTGTGACAGTAACTGTGCCCCCAATATAGACACAGTACTTTTTTCTCCTTATCACTCACTATGTCTTCATCTAACACAAGTATTAAGGGTTTACTCATTATACTTACCCATTCTCCAGTTGAGTTGAGCCTGGCTGGAACTTCCAGTGAGATCCGAGGAGCTGGAGAAAGCCTTTGTTGAGAGGAAGGAGGCCAATGGGTCATCACAGTTGTCTGAAAAGACAGGGAGAGCAGGAGAGATCAGATTCAATTGGCAAGAAGACTAGGCCGTCTCATTTACTAGTTATCTACTTTGGAAAAGATGTGTTATTATTTCAGGATGTGTTATTGCTTATAGTCTTCAAACATCGTACATATGACTTCCTTTCATAGATGAAGAAAATAAAGGCTAGTAAGTAGCATAACCAAAACTCTCAGCAATATTTGTTTGAGTCAAAAATCTAGCTCCCCACGTTCTCCATGGAGGGGTACTCCCTTAATCTAGAGGCAGGAGGGAGGGCCTAGTCCCTACTCCAAATGACTTGACAGATTTAGATGACACTTCCAGGAAGGTTTCACCCTATATGTGAAGTGTGGGAGTGGAATGGGATGGGAGGGTGGTCGGGGGACATGAGAGGGTAGAAGAGAGGGAGGGAGGGAAGAAGAAGGAACAAGGATCGATATGTATAATAAGAAAAATAAATAAATAAGGGAAAAAAAACTTCGCTCCCAATCCATCATTTAGTTAAGCATTTGAGCAAAGCCTCACATGTCTGTGTTTAGTCCATGAGAAGGGAGACTCTTAGAGAATGCTATTGTCTATCTCCCATCTTCAGCCTCCCTTGCAATAAATGTGTCTGTCCCAACAGGATAATTTTGAATTTCTTACTACGATTTGTGGGTGAGCCACTGAGAAATGTGCTACTATCGCGGTTAAATAAGGATCAGGATAAACAAATAGGCCGAATAGATGTTTATTCAGGGAGAAATAACTTACAACCTAGACAGATGAACACCAGGAAATTCAACCCGATCCTCTCCTGTCCGAGTCACGCCAGCAAGAGAGCGCCTTTCCTGGCCCCCTCCGACCTCCTTCCACAGGTCACTTCCGCCCATGGCTCCACCCCCCAATGGGTGTGGTCAGTGCCACAAAAGGACTATCTCATACATGCTACTTACCTAATAGCTCACTTATGTTTAGGACCTAAAAGGGAGTAGTTGCAGATGTGCAATCTTGAGCTGGATAGTAGCACCAGTAACTAACTTTCCAGCCTTCCCTGATGAGGTACTTTCTAAGGCTGCTTTGATAGTACTAAATAAACAAATATGGGCCATTGTGTCAAAGGGGCCATTAAGGAGACATGCGTTGGTAACATGGTTATGTTCCTCCAAGCTCACACTAATCCATAGTCACTGGATTTCACAGGGAGGAACTTGGTCTTCACACTTAGCACATACCAATACATAACTGGTTTTTTAAACATTTGTGCTCACCAAAATGAGCACTGAGATTTAATTACCATTCATCTGAAATAAGAAGAAGGATCTTTAAGAGATGATTTAGCCATAAGAGTTCCATTCTCCTTATGAGTTTAGTGTTTCAGAACTACAGTTTCTCAGCTTTTTCCCTCCTGTCACTTGGTGGCTCGGTGATTTGGCCTTGCTGCACACTGACACCTTGATACTAGATTCCCCATCATGCAGAAATGTCACCCTTATCAATGACCTCTCTCTGGTATTCTGTTAGAGTAGCACATGACAGGTTAGGGAACTTAGTCATCAATGTACCAGAGTGATGCATTTTCCTGAATCATCTGCTAGGTGCTCCATGATCTTGTATGTCTCTAGCAAGGAATCTGCTGCATAATAATATTCAAGTAAATGTGTGTGGAAAGAGTGTGATGGTGAATAATGATGGCAGGGACAAGAGAAAGGACCAATCAATCAACCAATTAGCTCACCTCACAAAGCCAACATTCTTTCCACATTTTTCCATTTTCTACATAATTGATTGTCTGGGACATTGAAAAACGACTTCATAAAATCTATACAGACCTTATTCAAAACAGATTTGAAATGTGCCACTCAAGGTAAATTTTCTGGTATGCAGGCACTTGGGAGGAACTGATCTGACATTTGAAAAGAACATTTACATAGGATCATACTAGTTTATCCAACCAATTCTAACAAAGCTGTGTTTCAGGTAATTGCAGGAAAAATAATTAGAAATGTAAGGATTAAATTTTTGTTTGTTAAGTGTGTTTAAAAATTACCTAATAAATGGTGTTTTGGGTTTCTTCCAAATGCAAATGCTTAAACATTGTTTGCAGGGATGGAACAGAGGCATATACCAACTGGACAGGAAAATATCAGAAACACAGCAATGGCAACTCAGTGGTCTGGGGGCATAGAGCAGGGGAACATGGAACATGTGGCTGTTTTACTCCTAAACAGAAAGCAGGCTGGAGAGCTACATGCATACCAAAAAGCACTGTATGATATCTCTCTCTCTCTCTCTCCCCTCTCCTTCTCTGTCGCTCTCTCTTTCAGTGCACACACGCGTACATGCGTGCACACACACACAGATGCAAGGCATAAATTTCATTTGCTTGTGGTCCTTTTGTTATCAAAATAACTCAGAACATCAGATACAGCTGATGGGATAGCTCAATTTTGCAAGTTGCCACCTAAAGGACCAGCGTTCAACTGCCCAGGTAAAAACTTGAGTGCTGTGCAATGTTCTTTAATACCAGCACTGGGGAGGGAGAGACAAGTGAATCTTTGGGGATTGCTTGCTAGCCTGAATAACCTATTTTGTGAGTTCCAGTCCAGTGAGAGACCCTGCCTTAAAAGACAGGTGGGAAGTGTCCTGAGAGGAGATACTCTATTGTTCTCTGGCTTCCACAGACACACAGACATGTACCAGACTGCATATGCTCCTGCACACATGTGCAACCGAATACTTGTGCACCCAAACACTACAGCATAAACACACATGCAAACACACAAGCTACCCTTATTAGACTCTGATAACTTTTCCACGTGCTGTGGATAACCTTTACAAGTACTGTGCTCCTGGATCTGGTCTTTCTCATAAGCCTTTCTCATCAGGTTTTATAGAACAGTGAATCTTTTGTTTCTAAACATGGTAGTATTGCATTCTAAGGGAACTGAACATACTTTTAAAAAATAAACTCTAAAGACAGTTCAAATCACATATCACTTAGAAAACAGCTCCTTTTAGTAGTAGCCCTTGTGTACACATGCAAGTTGTTAAAATGCCTGCAACATTATGTCCTGATCATTGGAATTTAAGTTATCCCATGTATTTTAAGTTCTATTTGTGCCTATCCTCACATGAGCACTATGGATAGATCTGGACAAAATAGAGCTATACACCACAGAGCAGATCCATTACCACAATCATATACCTCAGGTTGCTCACAGACTGCTCACAGATACAAGCACATAAACAGGTGAACTGCAGGGAAAGCTTAGGCACATTCACTAAAGTTTAGCGGGGCTCAAAATCCCTCATCCTTGTACACCTGTCTATGCTCCCCTGGCAACAGCTTTAGGAGGACTTGAGCTTCAAGAACCCATCAGCCTCACAGCAACAATAGCCAGGTCCCCTACTAGTCTCACCTCGGACCTTTTTGCTGACATGTTTGGGCATCATCAAACCTATGAACAATGACCCTGTCCAAAGGACAGGCCCAGGGGAGAACGTTAAGTGTCTTGGTCTCATACACCTGGTATACGTAAAGAATGGGTTCTTAAGAATCCATCTAAACTTCTGATCTCCTGTCTGGAAACAATGATAAAAGTGGGAGAATTTCAAATCAGAAGGGAAGAGAGGTCATCCTGACTTCACCTAGCATAAGGAGGTGTCTTCATGTTTACCCAATAACCCCGGGAGAGAAAAGACTGGACCATAAGAATTTGGAGGTCCCAAATCATAGATTTGTTTCTTCCCCTGCCATGGTGTCTGAATACAAACTAGGTAAGTGTATCAGGCCGTGTTTTCATCTGCCAAGCAGAGAGGGATCTGCACCATATCCGGTCATAAACTCTGATGGAATAAGGTCATGAGGAAATAAAGCTATAACATGAAGTCCACATGAGAGCAGATAGCAGCATGGACTTCTGGGATACCTGCGGCCATCCAGGAGGAGACCTATCATTCCTAGGATCATTCCCCCTTGTTCTGACATGCTCCAAAGAAGTGGTACTGAAGGTGGCTCTTCGATGGTAAGGGCTCACTGTGAGCCAAGGACACAGGAGAAGTACAGAAGAGAAAAGGATGAAGATGTGTGAGGAGGAGATCACAGGGTGTGTTCAACATACAGCTGGGCATCCTGGTAAAGGCTGGCTTGACTTCACACCCAGCACATGTCTGGAAAGAAAGAAAAGGAAATTCCATCTGCTATATCACTCCTACAGGCTTCCTACCACATTGACTCTCAGATTTCGGCTCCTTTACTTCCTCAGTTTCCTACCATGTTTTCACAAATTGTGAATCCCCCTCTCACCACCATGCTGTTGTCATCGTGTGTGTGTGTGTGTGTGTGTGTGTGTGTGTGTGTGTGTGTGTAGGAAGGGAAAAGAGTAAAGAACCCTGATCTGGAGGGAGGGTATGTTTGTGAGACTATGTCTACATAGACAATAGTCTCCAATTTGCAATCCTCCTGCCCCAACATCAAGGGTAGCAGGCATTCTGATGCAGAGGGAAGTGTTTTCAGTTTGGAAAAAAATTCTTGAGAACCCGTGCTGGTGAATCTCAGTTGTCAACTTGACTGAATTTAGAATCAACTAAGAGGGAGTCTCTTGGCACAGGGACCAGGGATTTTGTTAATTAGGTTAGTTGAAGCGGGAACACTCACTGCGAATGTGGGCAGTGCCTTCTGGTAGCACCTAGAAAGAAGACAGTACAAAGGAAAAGCTTTTGCTTCTTTTCCTTGCTTTTCTTAGCATCTTACCAACAGGTTCATCTACCCTTGTAAAGAGTTTTAGTGGAGAGCAAGAAAAGAAATACCATAATAGAGGGAGCCATTATAAGTTTGAAGAGAAATCTGTCACTAGGGAAATGTCCAGAGATCTATAAGGATGACCCCAGCTAACAATCTAAGCAATAGTCGAGAAGCCCCAATAATGAGATTGATAACTTCCTTGTATGACATCCTAGAGCCTTCATCCAGTAGCTGATGGGAACAGAAGCAGACACCCATGGCTAAACACTGAGCTGAACTCCTGGAATCCAGTTGCATTCTACATTCTGTTTCTACAGAGTTCCCTGACCAGGACAGGGAGTAAACATCATGTTTTCCTTACACCCACTTCCAATGCATTATTCTGAGATATACTAGGAGAAGTGATGAGCAGAGGGGTAAGAATCAGGCTGCAGAAACCCACAGAGACCCCTGGCCTGAAAAAGGGGGAACTGGTGGACCTGAGAATGATAGCTGGGAAACCAGCATAGGACAGTCCCAGACCCTCTGAACGTGGGTCTCAGTTAGAAGGCCTGAACAGTCTGAGGAACCTCTGACAGTGAAATCAGGATGTATCCCTGGCTCATGAAAGGACTTCAGGAGCACATTCCCCATGGAGGAATACTCCCTTAGCCTAGAGACATGAGGGAGGGCTTAGACCCTACTCCAAATGACTTGACAGATTTTGATGATTGCCCCTTGCCTCACCCTCCCTGGGGAGTGGATGGGAAATGGGATGGGTTGGGGTGACAAGGGATGGGAGGATCAGAGTGAGAGGGAACTGGGGTCAATATATAAAATTTTAAAAATAGTATAAATAAAAAGAAAACGGAAAGAGATTTACTTTGTTGCTCCTGTTAACACTACTGGTGACACCCTTCACTGACATCATGACTTAGTCCCTTTGGTCATCCAGTGTGGACTGAAGTCCAACAGTTCTCCAGGGATCCTTCATGCTGTCAGTACTAGATGGACAAAGCTAAAGCATATCACCTTCTGTACTATATTGCAGGGCAGAGAGGGGGTGAAGCCTCCAGCCTCTTGTCTGAGAAGATACAGGTTCTCAGCTTCTCCAGTGTGAAAACAGCCATTGGCACTTACCCAGACTGTAGTATCAATCAATTTGATTAGTCCTACTTTAATATATGTGCATTCTGCCTTCTGTTTCTACAGAGTTCCCTGACCAGGACAGGGAGTAAACATCATGTTTTCCTTATACCCACTTCCAGTGCATTATTCTGAGATATACTAGGATTCTCCAGCAATTGTGAAGTAGACATCATCAAATGCACAACAAACTACTTCCAGAATGAGATCTCAAAATTCCCCTTCCTGAGACATTCTTTCCAAATTGCAATTTGAAATCCAAGCCCTAATTAAAGTGGGTATGATTATTTTTCTTTTGCAAATGACCATCATTTTAGCAAGAGATTGCTGGGGGGAAGTCCTACTGTATATATGTTTCTCTTATTGTTTGATGAATAAAACACTTATTGGCTGACTAGCCAGGCAGGAAGTATAGGCAGGGCTAGGAGATGAGAATAATTCTAGGAAACATAGGCAGACAAAGTCATCATGTAGAGCCCCCTCCAAAAAAAGAGAGAACGCATGGGGTGCTCTCAAGTAAGCCAAGACCACATGGAAATACATAGATTAATGAAAATGGGTTAATAATTGAGACAGAGCTAGCCAATAAGAAGCCCAATTATAATGAATTTGTAATTAATACAGGGTTCATGTGTTTATTAGGGGCTTAAGGGCTGCGGGATCACCTGGGACAAAAGAAAAAAGAACCATTTATTACAAGGGATCATCTTTTCTGTTTTATTTGTTTTTAACATTAATTTTATTTTTATTTATCGATAAGTCTCTCTCTCTCTCTCTCTCTCTCTCTCTCTCTCTCTCTCTCTCTCTCTCTCTCTCTCTGTGTGTGTGTGTGTGTGTGCCCGTGTGGTTGGGTTCTACGTCCCTGAAGCAGGAGGTATGAGCTGTTGTGGATTGCCTGACTTGAGAGCTAGGAACTGAACCCAGGTTCTTTGCAAGAGCAATAAACACTGCAGACTGCTGATCCATCTCTCTAAACTTCTACTGTTTGATAACTTAAAAACTTAAAACTTAAAAAAGAAATGCTTGCTATACTCCATCAGTATGTCAATAAGAATCCAAGTCTGCCTAGTGGGACCAAAAGCTCATTTGCTTTTATAGTTCAGAAGCTAATGACACAACCTGTAACCTATCTACAAACAACATATTCTAATAACCAAATATTATTGGAACCACACAAACATTTGAATTCTCTTTATAAATGAAAAGATTTGGGTCAAAAGAGATGGTAAGATCCATCTAGAACTGTTACTGGACCAGCTTGGATCAAGACATAGGTATAAGACTGCGTACTGGTAGGCAGAAGTTTCTGTCCTGCCCCATCCTGCAGCTGTTCAGTCCCAAATAAACACACAAAGGCTTATATTAATTATAAACTGTTTGGCTTATTGTTCAGGGATATTAATAACAAACACTCACGACTTAGATTAACCTGTAATTCTTATCTATGTTTTAGCCACGTGGCTTGGTACCTTTTCTCAGTGAGACACAGTTGTCCTGCTTCCTTTGCATCTGGCTAGTGACTTTCCCCCAGCCTTCCTCTTTCCAGCATTCTCTTAGTCTGATAGCTCTACCTATACTTCCTGCCTGGCTACTGGACAATCAGCATTTTTGTTAAACCAATATGACTGACAAATCGTTACAGTGAAAAAGAACATTATCCCACATCACACTGGTGACCTCTGGTTAAGTTCCTCTTCTATGTGAGGCAGGCCACGATTATTTATAATACTCATAACAATTTATTCAATGTGCCTTGTGTGTTCAATGAGAACTGTCTCCAGAAAATCATGTGCTTGAATTCTTTGTGGTGGTGGTGTGTGGAAAGCTGTGGAACCTTCATCTGGTGAAGCCTCCTTGGAAGAAATGGACCACAGGAGACACATCTTGGGGTGATGCAGCTCACCTCACATCCTATTCATCCTGAGTTTCCTGACACTGGAAACGATGCAATTTATCACAATGATGAGTGATATAGCTAAGACAGGAAGCACCATTTATGTTTATTAATGTATCTTATTGCTAAAAGAAAGCTGTTTCTTCATGGAAAGCCTTGACAAATAACAGTTGCTTACATTTGCATTGCTTCCCGATTTCTCCCTTCAGATGCATTTCTGACCCTCCCTCTCCAGAGGGGAAGAAGGACAACGGACAGATGAACAGGTAAGAAGAGAACATCCAAAGAAATGGCATATTTCTGTTTCTGAGTGTCTGCATGGAATCCTAAGAAAGTTGACACTTAGCACCGTTGGGGTGGGCTTGACTTTCTCTTTGCTCTTATGAGCTCCACATTGCAAGGATGCTTTTTCCCAGCACAGAACAGTGCACAGGGAACATGGAGTAAATCCCACATTAGCACAGCTTCTTAGAAGTTACTGCTCAATGTCTAAGATCCCGCTGCTTTAAGTAACATTTTTTTTTGGTTGCCAACATATATTTTTATTCATTATTATTAAAATACCAATAGAATTACAGATGGTACTGAAGTGAAATTGTGTGTATCATCTTGATTACTACAGTAAATTGTCTGCATATGGGGATTTAGAGCTAAAGAGATTCACTTGCATTTATCGGCAAGATAAAA